GAGTAGTTTTTTCTGTAGTTATATGAAATCATTTTGAGGTTTGATTTAACAGGAAAGTTTACCATCTTTAGCTGATAGAACTATTGCAACAACAATGTAAATTATGCTGAGGATTGTTGAAACTCCGAGCCAGATTCCAAGAGCTGATAAATGAGGAATACCGATAGCGAAAATCGCACATACAACACCCGCGATGGCGATAAAGTGAGGCAGTTTCATTAAACTGTCATCTCTAAAAAGAACATAAACAGCCTGCACACAATGCAAAAGCAGAGCCATATGAGCTAACTAACTTTCGGATTTTCGCAACAACCCGGTTTCTTTTATTGTACCTTTAAGGCGGAACCAGCAAGTATGATGAAGCCACAATTAATCATGAAAAGATTGACATATTGCAATCCCCATGTAACACGATACATCTTTTTACCTGATCAATCAAGCAAATACAATTCTGATAAAGTGTAAACTTGAAATGTTTTTCGATATTGCGAGAGAGTGATGGAGAGTTTACCATAGATGAAGCCTGCGAGATCTCTATAACGAATGTGTCTTTTTCCACCAAACTCATGAAGCTTGGCGATAAGAGTGTTTGCGTAAAGGGAGATTGCGGTAGCAAGAATGAGACCAACCACACCACCAATCCAACCCAAAGGAACCATGACTGTCCCAGAATACCCCAAGACATAGGCACTGTTTATACCGGTTGTTAGAACAAATGCAACCTGAAACCATGAATCTGTACAATTCGTTCAACACTTCAGCTTTCACACACATGCAACACAAATAGACTAGATATGTTTGTCAAAAGAAAACAGAGTTTTCATAGCTAAAAACTGATCAAGAAACATAAATTCCGTATTGAATTTTCACATTCTTGAATCACCAAAGCATCATTTTTCACAAGAGGGCATCCATCAAATCAAGTAACAAAGTATCATTGAATCTAACAAAGAAGACAAAAAGCTATACGACCCTTTCTCAAGAAAAGTTTAATGAAAAAGGAGCATAATTCCCCAATAACAAAAGAGTTTTCTTCAAGAAAAAAGCTCGAGACTACGCAATAAACGACAAGTAGATTCACCAAAAAAGAGCAGCAACAAACAAAAAAAAAGGACAATAAAAACAAAAATTCCACAAAGATAGAGGATAAGAAACGAACCGCTGCTAATCTGATGAGCAGTCTCAGGGACTTCGAGTTCGAACTTTTCCACTGCAACAACTTTACGGTTCCTAGCTTCACTCGTATCCATGTTTCCGACAAAAATCTGTTAAATGCTTCTTCTGTCTCTGACTCCAAAAACTCTTTAGTTTCTCTTCCTCAATTTCGAGAATTAGTTGCTCACACTCCAAAAAGACAACTTTTGCTTTGTTAGAAAGAATCAAGAATCGTAACAGACAGATTTATTCCACAGGAAAAGTGTGAAATGGAATTGATGAAAATGAATTCTGTTTGATCTTTTGGGTCAAATTTAAACGATGGGTCAGAGAGATGGATACGTCTCTCTGTCTGTGAATTATTTGCACGAGATCCTATATAATGGGTAACGCAAGTTTTAAGTGTATTTAAATATGAAGGAAACACTTTTATTTTTTTATTTTTTAGAAAAGAATCTTGAGTATCAAATAATTATGAAAGGATCTCATGAATCATGATTGTTTATTTTTGGAAAGGAAATTGATTATTCCAATCCCTAAAATCTTACTACCAACTGATTATTGTAAACAAAATCAAAATTTCTTAATCTTTTTTTGGTCAAATAAAAAATTTCCTTAGTCTATTACAATTTATTAAGACTAGTAGAGTATTTTTTTTATGAACAAATGCGATTAATTCATGGAGTATTGTAAAAGACTAGTGTAGTTATTATAAAATTTATAAATGAAAACTTTAAAGTCGACGGAAAGCAGGTATGAACATAACTTCTGGCTTTACAATATTTTTTATTTGACTAACCATAATGACATTATCTTCCTTTGACTTCTTATGGCATTATTTCTTGAAAATCAAAATTTCTCTCTTTTTTACTACTTAACAAATAGATTCGTATCTATAGAAATCGACTCAAATCACATCTCCTCTTTGCTAGAATAATCCGAAGTTTATCTCAAACAATTTATTCAGTCCGTAAACGCAAATGAAAGTGCAACTAAAACAGGCTAACCAAAGAAAAGAAGCCAAAAAAATAATAATCTAAAATTTCACATGAGGAATTAATATGACTATGAGTGACGACATTTTGTTGTATAAGTGACGAAGTGAATGAGCCTAACAACGGTAACACACAGCTTTCTTAATGTTATTGAGATTAACAATTAAGTATTTATTTTATAAAAAGTTAAGTATGAAAAGTCTAAAATGAATTTATAAATCAAAATAAGCATTTACGCAATCTACGTGGCTTGACTTTGTAGAAACAAAAAAATCAAGACTCATGCAAAACTTTATTACATTTTTACCCAACATTATGATGGAATTTTGTTTTCGTCGACGTCGACAGTCGACTAAATTCCTTCCCAAAATAAATATAGATATCTCCATCGCGTTCACATGTGTATTTGACTTTTTATTAATGACTACATTAAGATTCTATTTGATCATTTATCTAAATAAGTTTCATGTCATTTACTTAATTATGTATCTCTGTTAATTTTACAGATTTGGGTTGTGTATGATTGAGTGTTAATCTTTTTTTCTTTTTCTTCACAACGATTGTCACTCTATGTATGTATCAGATTTTTTGCTATAGGTACATGATAGGAGAAAGACAGATCCCAAAATATACGGGTTTTCATGGATAGAAATTCTTAAAATTTACTCATAAAAGATGGTCAAGGGTAGAATAGATATTCTTTTAATTCAGATGGATTTGAAGTTTCGAACAAAGAAAATTTCCAAAATCAACCTTTTTATTGTTTTCAACACTGGAGCAGTTTTCTAGAGTATAAAATTATAGTATAAAATTATGTTTTTGTCGGAAAAAAATAATTTTAAACATAAGTATCTTTTTGGTTCAAAATAATTCAAACTTTTGGTTATTTAAATTACAATATAAATTATACCTCAAAATCTAAAACCATACTTTTTACATATACTCTAAAAACAATCTTCATGAAATGAAAAGAATTGTGTGTTTTTCTCTAAATGTAAAACTAACAAAAAAAAGATGGTGAATTTTAATATGAAGTTTTGATCTTCAGACCTGTGGGTTATGGGCCCACCACGCTTCCCCTGCACCACTCTAATTAATTTGGCATTGTTGTGAATCTGATATCTATAATTATAATTAAACATGTATTTAAGGACTGTTTAAGATTTCTATTTCTATTTTAGGAGGATTGATTTACATACTTTCTTATATTTACGTAAAATGCATATTTGAAAACATATGATATTGCACAAACTATTTTTGATCTTGCTCATCCGGTTAAAGCAAAATAATTAATTCAAGAGATTGGTATGCTTTGAGCATAAAGAGAGGTTTATTATAAGATTTTCAAGAAAGATGCCATAGAAAATGGAGAGAATAGATAAGAGACGTTGATATGTAAGTCAAATACCAAACAATAAACATGCATTCGAACAGAACTAGCGCAGATATATATGGAGTAAAGATGTTATCTTTGTTTTTTTTTTTTGGGTTTAATGTTAAGAAGTTATCTTTGTTTTCTTCAAAGAAACATTCATCAGGTTAAAGATTCAACCAATTGGAACATTATTGCATATATTTATGCTTAATTAAAAACTCACTAAAAAGAGAATATTGTACTGTGGCGCCTTGTATAGTATTTTTTTATCGCAAGGAATGTATGTAGTCTCACTGATTGGTCATGTTGTTAAGATATTATAATCAGTTCATGGGAGTTGTAAATTGTAATAATCAGTTCATGGGAGTTGGTGGGAATAGAAGGTACCTTAAGGTATTAGTGAAACAATGTAGGTTCAAATACCTAAAGAAGGCATGGTTGTTGATGATAAGTTTATGTCATTGATCACTTAATTTATGCTGTCCAACTTTTCTTCCCCAAGCAGAGGATAGGTCCAGTGAAATGCGAATAAACGAGAGCAAAGAAAAATGTGAAAGAGAAATTTTTTGTGTTAGAACAAAGACATTCAACAATAAAGCATTAATCATTTTTTTCATTGGGCAAAGAAAAATCTTACATGCATTTGACATTGAACTTACATCTAATAAAAGGTTGACCACGGTAGAAAAAAATTAAGTGGCTCAAAACCTTTTAATAGGGATCAGTGGAGAAAAGAAAGCTTGACCAGTGAATATCATTATCTATTTTAATTACTTTACAGTTAAAAGTTAGCAATTTTCCAATAAAAGGAGGACAAATCATTGTATTGGAAGTCTCTTTACACTTTCACAAAGCATCGAATAACTCTAGAAGAGATTTGATATCAATGGTCACATATTTTCATTTAAAATACAACAAGTGTAGGCGTAGCCTTATAAATTACGCTAACAATTCACACAACGTATATAGCCATTTACTCATTTCTTAGAAACTAAAAACAACTATAGGAAATATTCGTTTTTGGACTAAGTTTGATGAAATGTAATTTTGAATTATAGAGTTGATACATATACTTTTCAGTAATTTGTTTAGAGAAAAAAAAAAGATTACGATGACATAGTATGTCCAAGGTGTATATTTTGTTTTCATGGTATGGATTCCTTATAGGATAGTAAAAAAAAGTTTAAATTTTAAATACAATTTCTATAAGCAAATCAGTGTAAAACCATAGAAAAGAAGCAAATCAATGCCCAAAAAGTACAGATTAATAAGATGTGAGGACAAAAAAAAAGGGGTACAAAAACCAGGTTCTTGTCTACTTGAAATGTATCCTTAATCTTTGAAACTTGCTTATAGAAACAAAATTTTCTTACTTTGCTTGTTGTACGACTGGAATACTGGATCGACCCATCGAAGAATCTCCCGCCGGTGAAGTCTCTGGTCATGAAAACCTTTGACCGGAGTGGAAGCTACCGAAGAATGAATCCAAAGAGATCGCATGATCCGGAGAAGAAAGCAAATGTTTGGAATTTGTTTTTTTCTCTTCAACTTTCGAATGAGGAAAAAAAAAATATTGGGGAATAAATCAGCTTAATTAGGATCAATGCGATCCCTTTGGATGCTTTCTCTAGTTGCTGTGAAGAACTCTCTCTCTTTCAAGGTGGGAGCAATGGTGTTTTTCTCGAAGGCCATTGATATAAAAGATGGCCATGATCCTCTCTTCTTGTTAAATAAAAAAAATAAAACACCCTTTTTATCTTTTTTTTTCCCACCTTCTCATCTTTAAACTTTTTTATTTTATTTTATTTTATTATGTCCTCATTGAAAATTTTACTTTATATTTGACTTGGAGTAAAAAAGACGTCTCTACACATTAGACGAATTCTTGTGGCCTTAACACATGCATGATTTATATTTTATACCGTTATTACTGTTATCTTTCAACGTTATATGATCATTTCCTTTGACCGACCTTAAATGAACCTATGCATAGTAATTTGCAACATCATATATGGGCTTAAATTAATTATGTGAGTTTATCATTCGAAAACTTACTAATAAGTCCACCTACTATATATACCCACCAAACTTGAAGCTTATACAATTTATCACAGATCTGTATAGTATTAATTAGGAACATGACTGTGCCAAACGCCGTGTAAAACTAAAACTAAAGATATGTTATCAGCCATGTTGTTCCATTGTTTCAACTAAAAAAATCACAAAAATGTAGGATGGATTTTCTGTCTTTTCAAATAACAAGACGTTAAAGTTTTTTCGTTGATACCATTTGATGCATATATCTAGTGCTTTCATTGGCGGTGAAATTAATTATGTGGGTCACATAAGCTTCAACAACTCGTGCACATACATTAAACAAATTTGAATTATGCAAATATAGCGTAACACATTACACATATATATATATATATATATATATATATATATATATCTAGGTTGTCATAATTTGTTTTGTCACCATTATACAACGATACTTCTATAAGAGAAATTAAACTATGGAAGAACTAAACTATGTATCGTGCACACTGACCACGAGATCAAAACATTATGCATTGCCAATGCAGCATTGGCTTTATTTTCTTTCCATGTGATTATTATATGTTATTGGATAACAGTTTATATTATTTTTCTCTAATATCAATATATTTTTTTTTTTGGTAAAGAATATCAATTGTTTTCAAGATCAGAGCTATAGAAAAATTAATTTTATTTTTATTTGCTTCAAAACAGTATGATGACAATCAACTAATTATTAACCCGTTTGTGTTTTCATTTATGGTCCTAATATCTTAGTCTAGTCTCTCTTTTTTTTTTTGAACTTTAAAAGAAAATCGAATTACTTCATTAATTTTTAATAACCTTTCTCAAACAACCCAGACAAACTATCCCATCTTAGATATTCCCCACAAGTTGGGTGGCACTATTAATTATATTTTTGTCATTTTATTATCTTTTTTATTTGTTCTTAACTTATTTTATTCGAAAGTTTAATTTTTTTTTTGTGGTCCATCCCATGTTCCCTTTCGCTTTTGGCACCAAACATTTCCAAACTTTTGTTTAGGTTTTTGAAATTATTTATGCAACAAATGTTTCATTATATATTTCTTTATTTCTAAGAAAAACCGAGTAATAGTTTCAAGGATAAATCATTTTCTTCTAATACTACATAGCCACAAATGCAATCATAGGATCAGATTCAAGTCAAAGATATGGTCATATGATTGACACCTAATAAAGAATTGTTATATAAATGGATCCAATGCTTCTCTATCGTCTTACATATCCGTATTGTATATACATATGTAGTTGTATCATTGTTTTCGTAAAACTATCAAAGATGCTCATTATACATCTCAATAATTAAATTAGCTCATATATAGACATCACATGTTTTCCATTTTTTTCCTTCGAAAAAAATCACATGCAAAGCAACACATTGTATTCTTTATTTTCTAAAAATAACAATTAGGCGAATCAGTAACCAAAAGTCTAGCTAGAAGTACTCTGTATTATTGGCGTATGTAATAAATCCATGATGTTATGTGTTTCCAAATGAATCAATCCACAGAGTGGTTTACTGTAACTATCAGAGATGATATATAATTTCAAATAATATTTATGTATATTTCAAAAATTTCCAAAACGTGAGCAATCTTTAAACATGTCATCACTGCTTGGCTTGGCCAGGAGAAGAAAAAGGAGAGAAAAAGAGCATGAGCATGTGGCCTACTGTGTTTCCCTCTATAAGATTAAATTTTCAAATCTTTTTTATATAAAATCAAATAATATATATAGGTGAGAAAACAAAGAATCTACAATAAATCAGTGCACATGGAGAGTCTATTCTACATAAGATAAGGGAGGTATTCAATTTCATACCAGACAAGAATAATCTTTGGCTTTTCCATATGTTCGAACATGGCTCGAGTAACATCATATTTATCTACGTATAACTGTTTATATATAGTAAGAATGAAAAGTTTATTATTTAGAAGAGACGTGAAAGTTGGAATGGAATGAGGATTTTAAAATTGTAACTAAGATTGTGGTAGTCTTCTCAATCACATGATTTGTGTTTGTGCTTTTGTGACTACTAAGCACCTTTTCACTTTGGCAGGTAAAATATATTCTTTTTTTTTAATCAGTCAATTTTTTTTTCTTTCAAAAATCCACTATTAATTTATTAATGGACCTTCAAGGCATTAGACTAAAGGGCCTAAAAATTGTTTACAGATAATTAAAGGTAGTAATTCCTTGTGTCGTCGTCATCATCATTAATTAGCCCTAATTATCATCATGCCAATTGCCAACCCATATGAGTTAGGGAAAAAAACTTGTAAAGCAATTGGTCATAGCGTGAACCTGAAAGCAATCATGAGATATCCATAAATTTCTTATAATTTTGGAATTTGTTTGCATAAGCATATTATTACATCATTAATCGTATTTCGGTGATATAATTGCATAAGTACGATAAATTAATATGAAGTAAACTGATCCTATTATTCTCATAAATTTCGAAAGAAAAATGTATAATTGGGAAGTATTATTTTGTTTTCATTTAAACGAATGTATTTCTTACAAGCACTTACATATATCAAAATTTAGTCATATTTAAAACATATGGTGTTTCTTGCATTACGTTGTTTGTTATACACTTATACTTAAACACACACTGAATTCGATTGCTTAGCTCGAGAGTCTGCTAAAGTTATTCTTTTTATGGACCATAATTTTGGCTTAGGTTTTCTCTTTGGGTCTAGGCTCACATGATTTTGCCCATCCTTTTGTCTCTAGCTAGTACTAAATCGATTCATTTGTCCGTGTAATTAGCCAATATATTATCACTAAACCAAGTCAATATGTGTTGTGTTCTTTGCGTTGCTATCATCTTTCTCACATATGTTATAAGTTATAACACATATACACATACATATTGAAAATGTAATATGAATATGATAAAGTGTATGTATTTGGAGACGCACGTATGGATGTAGAGCATATGGTAGGGTAAAATGGGGATGCATGGTTTGTAGTCGTAGATAGATGAAATCATGAAAGTGAGATATACATATAAGACAGCAAAACAAAAGTGGGTCACTTAGAAAAGATCCCAACGTAGAGAACATAATATTAGATGTCTCTTCTTTGTTGGACACCAACCCCAGTTCCGCACACCTCTTTGTCGTTCTTTCCATCTCCTTCTTTTCTACTCACAAACCATCACACTTCAATATTTCTAAATATATTTCAAGGTTAAAATATACATACACCATTAACAAAAAAAAAAAAAAAAAACTTTCTTATATACATGCATAAGTATATTGGTTTTAATACACTTAAATTGTTTGTACGCTAACAAGTTCGGTTAAACTTCGGATTTTGTTAACTTCTGCTAAACATACCCAATAAAAAAAAACAGATAATTTTTAATGAAATACTATTGACTCAAGCTAGTTAAGTTACTTGTTGAGTTAATTATGTGATTTTTAAAATAGTTTGATTTTGCTATAAATTAATTAACTTTTATTATTATTTATTTGAATATATCATATAATACATTCATCGAATGTATATTAAAAAAACTGGATGTATGTATATACTTTTGCTATGAGCACATCCATGTTGAAGAGTTTTGAGTGGAAAAACGAAATAAGGACAAGTTGAATAAGAAGGCACCAAACTCTTATGGACCTACTTGCTTTGCATCTATGCTTCCCGCTTTTAATTCTCAAATCGTGTTCAATTACAAGGCATTGCGTCACTGCACAATTTCCTCTTCAATCAGGTTTATCTCTTTATTATTTTGGCAAGACAACTTTTTTAGATATCGAATTAAAATGTATATTCAAGTCAACTAATCGAATAACAGTAATTAGACAGGGGAAGCTGAGAAATACTGACCACACCGTATAGAACTGTTTATATGTTGTATATTATTATATGTATAAATATGCGTTTATATGCAGCTATATATTTACCTAAATGTGTGTTAGTTAGAAAAGGAGTGAGGGAAAAACTTTTGTCAGAAATGGAATGACGATATTAAATGTATCATTCAAAAGCTAGCTATGAATTCGACGGGGACCATTTCGTTACTTACTTTCGAACAAAGATATCAACTTAAATAGTTTAATTCCGCCTCAACAATATGAATATATCAAGTTATAAGATTATAATTTACACGAGAATCCATGTGGACGAGTCCACAATTTTGCTACAATATCAATATGTCAGGGTTCGAGCGATTGATTCTACGTACATATAGGATATATATTACTTCACATTGAGGCTTAGTTTACATAATCAGTCTCTTTTGGTTGTGGAATTTCGCTTGATATATATTTAGAATAAGCATTTACTCTTCTTTTTCAAAAGGATTCGAACCTAAACGCAAGTGTCAAGAGTTGATAAGAAGGTATTAATGGCACGTGGCAACATTAACTTAGTGTCCAATAAATAGAAGACAGTGTCGTTGTCTTTCCCAATTCCATTGTCCTAATTTTAGGGCAAGATTATGTATGACTCGATGCTCGTGTCGTTTTCTCTTAGGTCTAATTTCAACAAATGACTTGTATGTTACGTAACTTTCGTTCACAATAATGAAC